TCCGCAGTCTCTGGTCATCTCCTGTACTGTGTCCGCAGTCTCTGGTCATCTCCTGTACTGTCCGCAGTCTCTGGTCATCTCCTGTACTGTCCGCAGTCTCTGGTCATCTCCTGTACTTTCCGCAGTCTCTGGTCATCCCTGTACTGTGTCCGCAGTCTCTGGTCATCCCTGTACTGTCCGCAGTCTCTGCATCTCCTGTACTGTCCGCAGTCTCTGGTCATCTCCTGTACTGTCCGCAGTCTCTGGTCATCCCTGTACTGTGTCCGCAGTCTCTGGTCTGTACTGTCCGCAGTCTCTGGTCATCTCCTGTACTGTCCGCAGTCTCTGGTCATCTTCTGTACTGTTCACAGTCTCTGTCATCTCCTGTAGTCTCTGGTCATCTCCTGTACTGTCCGCAGTCTCTGGTCATCTCCTGTACTGTCCGCAGTCTCTGGTCATCTCCTGTACTGTTTCCACAGTCTGTCATCCCTGTACTGTGTCCGCAGTCTCTGGTCATCTCCTGTACTGTGTCCGCAGTCTCTGGTCATCTCCTGTACTTTCCGCAGTCTCTGGTCATCCCTGTACTGTCCGCAGTCTCTGGTCATCCCTGTACTGTGTCCGCAGTCTCTGGTCATCTCCTGTACTGTGTCCGCAGTCTCTGGTCATCCCTGTACTGTCCGCAGTCTCTGGTCATCCCTGTACTGTGTCCGCAGTCTCTGGTCATCCCTGTACTGTCTGCAGTCCTCTGGTCATCCCTGTACTGTCCGCAGTCTCTGGTCATCTCCTGTACTGTGTCCGCAGTCTCTGGTCATCTCCTGTACTGTGTCCGCAGTCTCTGGTCATCTCCTGTACTGTCCGCAGTCTTTGGTCATCCCTGTACTGTGTCCGCAGTCTCTGGTCATCCCCTGTACTGTGTCCGCAGTCTCTGGTCATCTCCTGTACTGTGTCCGCAGTCTCTGGTCATCCCTGTACTGTGTCTGCAGTCTCTGGTCATCCCCTGTACTGTGTCTGCAGTCTCTGGTCATCCCTGTACTGTGTCTACAGTCTCTGGTCATCCCTGTACTGTATCTGCAGTCTCTGGTCATCTCCTGTACTGTCCGCAGTCTCTGGTCATCCCTGTACTGTCCGCAGTCACTGGTCATCCCTGTACTGTGTCCGCAGTCTCTGGTCATCTCCTGTACTGTGTCGCAGTCTCTGGTCATCCCTGTACTGTCCGCAGTCTCTGGTCATCCCTGTACTGTGTCCGCAGTCTCTGGTCATCCCTGTACTGTCCGCAGTCTCTGGTCATCCCCTGTACTGTCCGCAGTCTCTGGTCATCTTCTGTACTGTTCGCAGTCTCTGGTCATCTCCTGTACTGTGTCCGCAGTCTCTGGTCATCTCCTGTACTGTGTCCGCAGTCTCTGGTCATCTCCTGTACTGTCCGCAGTCTCTGGTCATCTCCTGTAACTGTGTCCACAGTCTCTGGTCATCCCTGTACTGTGTCTGCAGTCTCTGGTCATCCCTGTACTGTGTCCACAGTCTCTGGTCATCTTCTGTACTGTTCGCAGTCTCTGGTCATCTCCTGTACTGTGTCCGCAGTCTCTGGTCATTCCTGTACTGTGTCCGCAGTCTCTGGTCATCTCCTGTACTGTCCGCAGTCCTGGTCATCTCCTGTACTGTGGTCCACAGTCTCTGGTCATCCCTGTACTGTGTCTGCAGTCTCTGGTCATCCCTGTACTGTGTCTGCAGTCTCTGGTCATCCCTGTACTGTGTCCGCAGTCTCTGGTCATCTCCTGTACTGTGTCCGCAGTCTCTGGTCATCCCTGTACTGTGTCTGCAGTCTCTGGTCATCTCCTGTACTGTGTCCGCAGTCTCTGGTCATCCCTGTACTGTGTCCGCAGTCTCTGGTCATCCCTGTACTGTCCGCAGTCTCTGGTCATCCCTGTACTGTTAATTAGTTTGCACTACTGTACGAGTTGTTTTTTCTAAACCAAAAGCTCGATATTCAGGTTTCATTGCAGTGTTGGCACTTTGAAAGAAATAAGTTGGTTTTGGGTTGCAGTTTGGGCACTCGGGCTCAAAAAGGTTCGCCATCACTGGTCTAGGGTGTGTTTTCTTTGGTTTTATTGGAACATATAACTTGGATGAGGATGATGGAAAATGAGGGAAGCATGGGATACCCCAATAAACAGAAGGGCTTAATAACCTGAAGACTCCTTAGCTCTCTGGCTGCACTGTGCTAAAAGGGAATGTCCAACAGAATCTCTATGCTGACAGTGACTAGTACTCCATCCACAGCTTAAAAGCTGCTCACAAAATGACTGACTTTCCAGCACTGGGGTAATTTACTCAAATAGCCACAGGATCATCAGTTGCCTTCTTCTGACATCCACCAGACTCTTTTCCAGTGAGGTTGATGCAGGAACACACCACCACAGGACAGCCAGACTCTTTCCCCACCAACTACCTTCTGGCTCTCTCCAGTGGGCTTCTCCAGATCCAACTTGATTCCAGGGCTTAGGTTTGCAAATAGTCCCCCCCCCCCCCCCACCCCTCTTCAGCTAAGCCAGCTTGGTGTCTCCCTGATAGTCTCTTCTAATTTTCTGCCCCAGGGTCTCCTCTAGCAGGACTGGACCCAGGAACTTTACAGCTGCTGCCTCAGACTATTTAAGGGCTCTCCATCCATTTACTGGGCACACCTCCCCAGGGATTGGCTGGAGTCCCATAAGTATTCAGACTGCTCACAAGGATTCTAGAATCCTCTAGAAGACAGGGGGTAGTAACAGAGCAGCAGCCTATGAGACACAGAGCAGCCATATATAATCAATCCCTGTTCTCAGATTACAGTGGAGCCTACCACCTTACACTACATCAGACGGGTGCTACACATACATTTTTATGAAAGACATGACCTCCCTAACTCATATTCGTTTAGTTACTTGCAACTCCACCATGTTTAACAGTCTCAGCGTAGCTTCTAGTTGTTGAAACTAGTTTGGGATTGAATTTATTTTATGGAATGAGTCGCTTACAGGGCCTTCCAGCCAAATGTACTTACAGGTCTGGGGAGCCTTTGATCTAAATGTCAGGTGGATGTTCTCTCATTGGATGATGATGACTGTGCCGAATTGTGGGATTGTCCACTTACATGCCTTCCACCACAGATAGGCTCATACAGTTTAAAATGCTTTACCGAGTCTATCTGACTCCATGAAGACTTAAAAAGGCCTATTCTTAACTCTCAGCTCAGATGAGACTCGGCAGACTATATACACATGTATTCTAGGGGTGCCACATTTTTCAACGGTACTGGTCTACAATAGTGAAATGTATTTTCTTACTGACCTAAATATACACTCACCCGGCCACTTTATTAGGTACACCTGTTCAATTGCTTGGTAACACAAATTGCTAATCAGCCAATCACATGGCACCAACTCAATGCATTTAGGCATCTAGACGTGGTGAAGATGACTCTCTGAAGTTCAAACCAAGCATTAGAAAGGGAAGAAAGGGGATTTAAGTGACTTTGAAAGTGGCATGGTTGTTGGTTCCAGGAGGGTGGTCTGAGTATTTCCAAATTTGCTGATCTACTGGGATTTTCATGCACAACCATCTCTGGGGTTTACAGAGAATGGTCCAAAAAAAGAGAAAATATCCAGTGAGTGGCAGTTGTGTGGACAAAAATGCCTTGTTGATGTCAGAGGTCAGAGACTGGTTCGAGATGATAGAAAGGCAACAGTAACTCATGTCAATTTTTCCTACACCTTGTTGAATCTATAGCACGAAGAATTAAGGTAGTTCTGAAGGCAAAAGGGTATTAGCAAGGTGTACCTAATAAAGTGCCTGGTGAGTGTATGTGTTCGTTTAAATATTGAAATGTGTCTCTTGGGCCTAGTGGAACCATTAGCTACAACTGACTTGCCAGACCCCCCTTTGCCTTCTTTGCAAAGCCATAGTACTTCGGTTAAAATAAAAACCTGTGGTCTCTATACATACAGACTTGTTACACTTTCCACAGCATTATGCCTCAAACAATTATTACATATCATACAAGATTTTCTGCACCACAGAGTTACCAACGTGTTTCAACTATCAAATAGTCTTCATTGGGAGAGAGGTTAAGTACCTAAGTAAGTAGACAAAGAAAGCATATACAAGTATATACAAGTATATGACAAACAAACACTGAATGAGAAGCTGCCAAATTGCATCAGAATCATACCTTATTCAATGAAAAACTATCCCTTGAAATCGCACTGAAACCGACAGGAAAATAGCACCGCATCTATGTGAACCTAACGGAAATATAATTTTGTATACACTCGTGTTTATATCATGTTTATTTATGCATATAACTACTCATTGTTATATGTACTGTTGCGCCATATGTTTTCCACTTGATGATGACTGTCTTCACTGTGTTCCATGGTATATCTAATGCCTTGGAAATTCTTTTGTACCCTTCTCGTGACTGATACCTTTTAACAATGAGATCCCTCTGATGCTTTGGAAGCTCTCTGCGGACCATAGCTTTTGTTGTAGGATGCGACTAATGCAGGCCATAGATGGGGAAAAACCGGACGATTTTTCTTTAAAAAAAGAAAATTCATCCCGATTTTCATCCCGTCTACAGCCAGCAAAAAGTGTCCCTGCAGAGAGCTCCGCTATTTCTTTGACAGTTCTTTGACATTTATAGCGGTTGCAACAATGTATATCTATTTATATCCATTTCGGATACAGATGTTTTTATTTGGAAACAAATAGATACATTGTTGCAACCGCTACAAATGTCAAAGAACTGTCAAAGAAATAGCGGAGCTCTCTGCAGGGACACTTTTTGCCAGACTGGAATTCTTCTTCCTCTTCTTCATCCTCTTCTTCTTTCTTCATACTCTTCTTCTTCTTCATCCTCTTCTTTATCCTCTTTTCTTCTTCCTCTTCTTCTTCTTCCTCTTCTTCTTCTTCTTCTTCTTCTTCCTCTTCTTCATCCTCCTCTTCCTCTTCCTCATCCTTCTCTTCCTCTTCTTCTTCATCCTCTTCTTCCTCTTCTTCTTCATCCTCTTCTTCCTCTTCTTCTTCATCCTCATCCTCTTCTTCATCTTCTTCATCCTCTTCTTCTTCTTCATCCTCATCCTCTTCTTCATCTTCTTCATTCTCTTCTTCTTCTTCCTCTACTTCATCCTCTTCATCCTCTTCTTCATCCTCTTCTTCTTCTTCCTCTTCATCTTCTTTATCCTCTTCTTCTTCTTCCTCTTCTTCATCCTCTTCTTCTTCTTCCTCTTCTTCACCCTCTTCTTCATCCTCTTCCATTTCTTCTTCCTCTTCTTCATCCTCTTCTTCTTCCTCTTCTTCTTCATCCTCTTCTTCTTTTTCTTCTTCTTTTTGTCTTCCTCTTGCAGGTCACTGCTCATGCGCAGATTTTTTATCGGTAAAAAGATTGTCCGATTTGCCCATAATTGCAGCGAAACTTGGCCGATCTTTTTCCAACTTTACTGATGAAAAAAATCTGCCAAAATACCGAAAAAAACGGCCGAACAATTAACCCACTAACGATCCGAAAATCGTCCGATTTTATTTTTGGCCGAAAATTGGCCGATTTTTGACCCATCTATGGCCTGCATTAGTCAGGAAAGACCTACTAGAACAGCTGAACTTTATTTGGGGTTAATCAGAGGCACTTCAAATGATGGCAGATGTGTACTGACTCCTACTTAACATGATTTTGAATGTGATTGCAGTTTGTTTTAGAGTTGTACAGTTTATAGGTTACCTTCAGCCTGGGTTCACACTGATGCAGTCCGGAATTTTCAGCGTTTTCTGTGCGAATTCCGCACTGAATCAGAATCACACCCCATTCATGCGAACCGATGCGGATGTGTATGTTAAGTTAACAACACCCCATAACTGGTCCGCAAAACACGGTGTGAATACCCATGCGATCCAATTCTAGTGCGGACCAAAAAAAGGGTCATGCACCTTTTTGGTGCGGGTTCGGTGCGATTACAGCCATACAAAATGTAAAGCTCCAATTGCACCGCACACAAATCGCATGTGATTTGCACAGGAAAGCGGTGCTGTTCCTGTGCGAATCACATGTGATCTACCGCACCGCATATATGTGAACCTGGGCTAAACATGGAAAAAGTTCTCAAATGATTTATCTTTGCCTCATTTTTTTCCATCACAGAAACTTGACATTTTAACAGGGGTGTGTAGACTTTTTATATCCGCTATATAGATATTTTTTTTTTACCTGCTGGTGCGGTCCACCCTCCTAATCTTTATATAGAGTTCTGCTCAAAAGATTTCATACCCTGGCAGAAATCGTGAAATTTGGCATTGATGTTGAAAATATGACCGATTATGCCAAAAAAACTGTCTTTTATTTAAGGACAGTGATCATAGAAGCCATTTATTATCACATAGTTGTTTGGCTCCTTTTTAAATTATAATAACAGAAATCAACCAGATGGCCATAATCAAAAGTTTCCATACCCTGGAATGTTTGGCCTTGGTACAGACACACAAGGTGACACACATGGGTTAAAATGGCAGTTAAAGGTAATTTCCCACATCTGTGGCTTTTTAAATTACAATTCGTGTCTTTGTATAAATAATCAATGAGTTTGTTAGCTCTCATATGGAAAAGGATATGAAAAAGATATCCAAAGCCTTGAATATGTTCGTTATTACTGTTCAATCACTTATTAAGAAGTTGACAATATGGGGATCTCTTGACACCAAGCCATGGTCAGGTAGAGAGTTATAACCTTTTTGTGTTGACAATTGCCAGAACCTATTAATATTCAAAGAAAAACCCACATAACCTCAGGATGAAAACGGGCTCTGTATAAAAAAACAAATCAAGGAGCACAATACTTCAATAAAAAAGTTCATGGTCGAAAGTTGTCCCAAGTCTTTACTGTGTCCCAAAAAACAATTACATAGTCCAAAAGAAAATGTCAAAATGTCCAAACTAGTTCAACCATAAAAAAAGGTCATAATCCTATACCCACAGTGGATCCAGAGGTAGGCAAAAAAATACCCAGCAAACTGCATGATAGAATTTGCTACTGCATACAAAAAAAACCTTCCTGATCCCCCAAGGGAAATACGGATATGCCTGTATCAACTTTGTGGTTACAAAATGCCTACAACACCTTGAACGCCTCACAGATTTTAGCATGGTCACACTGTAATCTAGAGTGATGAGACCAAAAAAGCCCAGTAGAGATTTATAGTCAAAAAGACAAAAGTCGCTATGTTTGGAGAGGGGTCAACAAAAAAGCGACAAGAATACCATACCCACTGTTGAAGCCAGGTGGAAGGCTCATTAAAGTTTTGGAGATGTATGAGTTCCATAAAAACCAAAAGAATCTTGTGAAAATGGATGGCTCCTGAATGCACCCATGTTTTCTTTCTGAAAATACTGGCAGACAATTTTCTTTCTTCTGCACGAATGCTGCGTATGAGATGCTCTTGGAAACTTTCCAGCTCAACCAATGACCCTAAGCACAAGGTAGTTGACCCTTCAGCGGTTACAAAAGAAAACAGGGCTGCTGAAGGTTCACACAGGGCCCCATACAGCCAACCTGACAGGGCCCCCCAAACCATGGGGCCCCATACAACCAACCTGACAGCCCCCCCCCCCCCCACACACACACACACACATTCCCACAAGAAAATACAGTTTACTATGCTTCAATTATGAATCAACACAGTGATTGATTGATTGATTGGTAGCAATCACTCATTGTGTTCATTCAGGAAGGGAAGGGGCTGACAAATGTGACATTTACTAGACCCTTCCCCCACTCTCCATCCTGAAGGATCCTATTGTGTGGTTGCAGCTGCTGGTGGGAAGGAGAAGAGGGAGCCCGGCAGCACTGTGGGGATGGGGGGCACACAGTGGGGTTTGGGCAGCAGGGGGAAATGTATGGTGCACAGGGTGGGTGATGGGTGCAGTGTGGGGGCAATTACTGTAACCGTTTCCCTGTATGGTTCTCTCTGCAGCAGCTGAAAGCCAACAGGAGGGAGAGGAAAGAAGCCAGCTTTCAGCTGCTGCAGAGACAACCATACAGGGATTGGTTCCAGTAATTGCCAGCCGCCGTGCCAATCACCCTCCCTGCCCACATCCGATTCACCTGGCTGCCTGGGCCCCCCTGCTGGCCTGAGCCCCGTACAGGAGGACTGGTTGTACACCCTTATCCACGGTCCTGTGTGTATGTGTATATATATATATATATATATATGAGAGAGAGATACATACAGAGAGAGAAGAGAGAGAGAGATACATACATACACACTTTTTTGTCCTTTGGATACATTTTCACTTATAATGGAAGGTACACCCCTATCCACGGTCCTGTGTGAATGTACAGTTGTGTTCAAAATAATAGCAGTGTGTTGAAAAAAAGTGAATAAAAACTCAAAATCCTTCGACTAGCTTTTATTTCCATACACACAAATGCATTGGGAACACTACACATTCTATTCCAAATGAAAACATGTAGAAAAATCTATCAAATTTGTGTTGTTCCTCTAAAAAAATAATTGAAGAAAAGTGAATATTAGACTGTTCAAAAAAATAGCAGTGTTTGTATTCTTCTTTACAAACTCAAACATTCACTATATAAACTGAAAAATGTTTGAAGGTTTTGCTTTCCTTTGAATCACTTAATGAATATTTGGTTGTAGTCGCACTGTTTCTGAGAACTGCTGTACATCTGTGTTGCATGGAGTCACCCAACTTCTGGCACCTGTGATCAGGCATTCCAGCCCAGGATGATTGGACTACATTCCACAGTTCTTCTCTATTTCTTGGTTTTGCCTCAGAAACTGCATTTTTGATGTCACCCCACAAGTTTTCTATTGGATTAAGATCCGGGGATTGGGCTGGCCACTCCATAACGTCTATCTTGTTGGTCTGGAACCAAGATGTTGCACGTTTACTGGTGTGTTTGGGGTCATTGTCTTGTTGGAACACCCATTTCAAGGGCATTTCCTCTTCAGCATAAGGCAGCATGACCTCTTCAAGTATTCTGATGTATTCAAACTGATCCATGATCCCTGGTATGCGATAAATAGGCCCAAACCGTAGTATGAGAAACATCCCTATATCATGATGCTTGCACCACCATGCTTCACTGTCTTCACAGTGTACTGTGGCTTGAATTCAGTGTTTGGGGGTCGTCTGACAAACTGTCTCCGGCCACTAGACCCAAAAAGAACAATCTTACTTTCATCAGTCCACAAAATGTTGCACCATTTCTCTTTAGGCCAGTCAATGTGCTCTTTGGCAAATTGTAACCTCTTCAGCACATGTCTTTTTTTCAACAGTGGGACTTTGCAGGGACTTCTTGCAGATAGCTTGGCTTCACATAGGCGTCTTCTAATTGTAACAGTCCTCACACAACTTTACACCTTCTTTGATCTTCCTGGAGCTGATTGTTGGCTGAGTCCTTGACATTTTGGCTATTCTTCTATCCATTCGAATGGTAGTTTTTCGCTTTCTTCCACATCTTTCAGGTTTTGGTTGCCATTTTAAAGCATTTGCGATCATTTTAGCTGAGCAGCCTATCATTTTCTGCACTTCTTTATATGTTTTCCCCTCTCCAATCAACTTTTTAATCAAGGTACGCTGTTCTTCTGAACAAAGTCTGGAACAACCCATTTTCCTCAGAATTTCAGAGACAAATGCACTGTAACCGGCATGTACAACATTTGCTGCCTTCCTTCCTTAAATAAGGGCAATAATTGCCACCTGTTTTTCAAAGAATGAATGACCTCACTAATAGAACTCCACACTGCTATTATTTTGAACATGCCCCTTTCAATTAGTGATTCAATTACACAGAATCAGCAGCATGCATGTCATGACTGTTGGGTCTGTTGGATTTCTATTACTCTACTACACCTGCTAGTAAATTATTTGCCATGTAGAAATATCATTTCTACCAAAAACAGTGATTGATCAGGTTAGTGATGTCTGACTGCTATTATTTTGGAATATTTTGGAGAGAGAGAGAGACAGAGACACTTTTTTGTCCTTTGGATACATTTTCACTTATAATGGAAAGAACTCCAAAACTAAAATCAAAACTTAACAAAAATCTAAGCATAGCTGCAGTTCCATTTCAAATCAATTGTTTCCGGCCCTGTGCACCGGCTAATGTAACTATACACTTATGACAAGGCTAATTAATTATTATAAATCAGGACTAATGGCGATGGCATACAATAAAAAAATTGTTTCCTGCCAGCCCGTTTAGCAAATAACCCGGGGCATTTACTGAGCCTCCTAAGCTTTTCCCTTCCCTTTTTCCACACTAATGTTTGAACAGCTGCTCCACTCCAAGGCTCTGCGTCTTCCTGCTATGGGAGGAGTTAAACAATGTAATCTGTAGGAAAGATAATTCAGTGAAAGAGGATTAGTCTCTGGAGCACAGCCATCGCCTAAATATAGACTGCTTCTTATTTGTGTTTATCCAGATCACTGCGATCAACACCCACCAGGGTACCTTCCACCCGCAGACAGACAGCGCAGCCAT